GTCGGGTTTCCAACTGAAAACTAATTTCCACACGTCACGAATTTAACTCAAACAACTTCATTTTTACTGCACTGAAACTTTGGTGAGAAGATTGAGTTTCAAAACTCAATTCAAGATTGAGTTTTTGGGGCCGTTTAACGGCCCTCCTTGGGCCCGTTTAAAAGCCTGAGAACTCCGTGTTTTAGTTTTTGTTGAGTGATGTAAATGTCCAGTTGGATTAACAATATAAAACTACTCTAAAATGACCGAGTAACAATTCGAAATTGTTTGAAATATTTTTAATCATTTCTAAATTTCAAACAGCAACCAGAAACGAAGTTTTGTACCCATATTGATCGCTTACTCTCAAGATAAAATATTAGCGTGACCCCTCTCTTGACGTGACATGCATATCCTCAATAATCCAAGATGGCGAACAGCTCACTTTTTTCAGTCGAAATATTTTGAAAACTAAGCAAGATATGAACAATCTGTAATAGAGTTTAGTATATAGTTTTAAGAGTTCTTTCAAATGAACTAAACTATTTTGTTATTGCCAATGTCCTTTATTAAAGTCGTTGTTTTCTTACACCTAGATTCAGTCCATACTATCGTACAAAGAAAGGCTTCACTCTGGACTCGCGCACCTTCACCAACCTCATAAACCCCCTTGTACCCTTCTGTCCCTTCGCCCTCCACGGGATCTGCAGCGACCCCGAGTGTCCCCATCAACACCCAGACGAGGTCGTACCTGAAGATAAACAAATCCTGGAAGACCTCGGCGCTTATTTTGCGAGCGCGGGAAAAAAGCTCGGCGGCAATGATGACGTCACCGATGACATCATCAAGTCTATCACACGGACAATAGACGCGGTTACAAAGCAATATGGCGACAAAGTTTCCCCGGCTGAATTGAGAGTTCTGTTCGTGAATTATTTGAGAAAGCAGAAGTCTGCGGGGATTTTTAATATAGTACTTGATCGTAGACGATGGAGGCCAATTTCCCATACGAAGAAGGATCCCGGAACAAGTGCTCCCGGAACAAATGCTCCTGGCGACGAATACCCCATCGTTCAGACTGAGAAGACGTTCAGTTGGAAGAGTTGGCGAAGAAAGATTGAGAATGAGATTAAGACGCGGTCAGTGGACCGGGACGAATGGTAAGTACTTTGTTCACGTGATAAACACGTCAAAACGCGCAAGTCGATATCAGGATGTGTTCGCACTGCTTGTTCCCAGTTGTTGCGACAAGTCTGGAACAAGTTGTTATCACCTTGTTACAAGGTTGATGACGGTAACAGACTTGCTACAAGTTGTTCCAACAAGCCTAACACAGGCTGTTCGTAACAAGTTGCTACGAGCTTGTTGTCATCAACGTGTTACGTGCAGACGATATCAGACTTGTTGGAACAACTTGTTACGTGCAGACGATATCAGACTTGTTGGAACAACTTGTTGCGAGTCTGTTGGCTTCGTCAACCTTGTTACAAGATGATAACAACTTGTTCCAGACTTGGCAACAACTGGGAACAAGCAGTGCGAACACATCCTCTTGTTGACGAGCTGTACGATTTTAACAAATCTGTCGAGTCATCAACCTTGTAACAAATCTGTTGAGTCATCAACCTTCTAACAAATCTGTTGAGTCATCAACCTTGTTACATGTCTGTTGAGTCATCAACCTTGTAACAAGTCTGTCGAGTCATCAACCTTGTAACAAGTCTGTTGAATCATCAACCTTGTAACAAGTCTGTTGAATCATCAACCTTGTAACAAGTCTGTTCAGTCATCAACCTTGTAACAAGTCTGTTGATTCATCAACCTTGTAACAAGTCTGTTGATTCATCAACCTTGTAACAAGTCTGTTGATTCATCAACCTTGTAACAAGTCTGTTGAGTCATCAACCTTGTAACAAGTCTGTTGAGTCATCAACCTTGTAACAAGTCTGTTCAGTCATCAACCTTGTAACAAGTCTGTTCAGTCATCAACCTTGTATCAAGTCTGTTGAATCATCAACCTTGTAACAAGTCTGTTGATTCATCAACCTTGTAACAAGTCTGTTGATTCATCAACCTTGTAACAAGTCTGTTGATTCATCAACCTTGTAACAAGTCTGTTGATTCATCAACCTTGTAACAAGTCTGTTGAGTCATCAACCTTGTAACAAGTCTGTTGATTCATCAACCTTGTAACAAGTCTGTTGAGTCGTCAACCTTGTAACAAGTCTGTTGAGTCGTCAACCTTGTAACAAGTCTGTTATTAAAAGTCATCAATCTTGGAACAAGTCTCTTCAGTCATCAACCTTGTAACATGTCTGTTGAGTCATCAACCTTGTAACAAGTCTGTTCAGTCATCAACCTTGTAACAAGTCTGTTCAGTCAACAACCTTGTAACAAGTCTGTTTAGTCATCAACCTTGTAACAAGTCTGTTCAGTCAACCTTGTAACACGTCTGTTCAGTCAACAATCTTGTAACAAGTTTGCTCAGTCAACAATCTTGTAACAAGTCTGTTCAGTCATCAACCTTGTAACAAATCTGTTGAGTCATCAACCTTGAAACAAGTCTATTGAGTCAACAATCTTGTAACAAGTCTGTTCAGTCATCAACCTTGTAACAAGTTTGTTCAGTCAACAACCTTGTAACAAGTCTGTTGTGTCATCAACATTGAAACAAGTCTATTGAGTCATCAACCATGTAACAAGTCTGTTCGGTCATCAACCTTGTAACAAGTCTGTTCAGTCATCAACCTTATACCAAGTCTGTTGATTCATCAACTTTGTAACAAGTCTGTTCAGTCAACAACTTGTAACAAGTCTGTTCAGTCATCAACCTTGTAACAAGTCTTTTCACTCATCAATTTTGTAACAAGTCTGTTCACTCATCAACCTTGTAACAAGTCTGTTCACTCATCAACCTTCTAACAAGTCGGTTGAGTCATCAACCTTGTAACAAGTCTGTTGATTCATCAACCTTGTAACAAGTCTGTTGAGTCATCAACCTTGTAACAAGTCTGTTGATTCATCAACCTTGTAACAAGTCTGTTCAGTCATCAACCTTGTAACAAGTCTGTTCAGTCATCAACCTTGTAACAAGTCTGTTCAGTCATCAACCTTGTAACAAGTCTCTTGAGTCATCAACCTTGTAACAAGTCTGTTCAGTCATCAACCTTGTAACAAGTCTGTTCAGTCATCAACCTTGTAACAAGTCTGTTGATTCATCAACCTTGTAACAAGTCTGTTCAGTCATCAACCTTGTAACAAGTCTGTTGAGTCATCAACCTTGTAACAAGTCTGTTGAGTCATCAACCTTGTAACAAGTCTGTTGATGTCATCAACCTTGTAACAAGTCTGTTCAGTCATCAACCTTGTAACAAGTCTGTTGATTCATCAACCTTGTAACAAATCTGTTCGGTCATCAACCTTGTAACAAGTCTGTTCAGTCGTCAACCTTGTAACACGTCTATTGAGTCATCAACCTTGTAACAAGTCTGTTGAGTCATCAACATTGTAACAAGTCTGTTCAGTCATCAATCTTGTAACAAGTCTGTTCAGTCATCAACCTTGTAACAAGTCTGTTCAGTCACCAACCTTGTAACAAGTCTGTTCAGTCAACAACCTTGTAACACGTCTGTTCAGTCAACAATTTTGTAACAAGTCAATTCAGTCAACAACTTTGTAACAAGTCTGTTCAGTCATCAACCTTGTAACAAGTCTGTTGATTCATCAACCTTGTAACAAATCTGTTCGGTCATCAACCTTGTAACAAGTCTGTTCAGTCGTCAACCTTGTAACACGTCTATTGAGTCATCAACCTTGTAACAAGTCTGTTGAGTCATCAACATTGTAACAAGTCTGTTCAGTCATCAATCTTGTAACAAGTCTGTTCAGTCATCAACCTTGTAACAAGTCTGTTCAGTCACCAACCTTGTAACAAGTCTGTTCAGTCAACAACCTTGTAACACGTCTGTTCAGTCAACAATTTTGTAACAAGTCAATTCAGTCAACAACTTTGTAACAAGTCTGTTCAGTCATCAACCTTGTAACAAGTCTGTTGATTCATCAACCTTGTAACAAATCTGTTCGGTCATCAACCTTGTAACAAGTCTGTTCAGTCGTCAACCTTGTAACACGTCTATTGAGTCATCAACCTTGTAACAAGTCTGTTGAGTCATCAACATTGTAACAAGTCTGTTCAGTCATCAATCTTGTAACAAGTCTGTTCAGTCATCAACCTTGTAACAAGTCTGTTCAGTCATCAACCTTGTAACAAGTCTGTTGAGTCATCAACCTTGTAACAAGTCTGTTCAGTCATCAACCTTGTAACAAGTCTGTTCAGTCAATCCTTGTAACAAGTCTGTTCAGTCATCAACTTGTAACAAGTTGTATCACAACTTGTAACAAGTCTGTTCAGTCATCAACCTTGTAACAAATCTGTTGAGTCATCAACCTTGAAACAAGTCTATTGAGTCAACAATCTTGTAACAAGTCTGTTCAGTCATCAACCTTGTAACAAGTTTGTTCAGTCAACAACCTTGTAACAAGTCTGTTGTGTCATCAACATTGAAACAAGTCTATTGAGTCATCAACCATGTAACAAGTCTGTTCAGTCATCAACCTTGTAACAAGTCTGTTGATTCATCAACCTTGTAACAAGTCTGTTGATTCATCAACCTTGTAACAAGTCTGTTGAGTCATCAACATTGTAACAAGTCTGTTCAGTCATCAATCTTGTAACAAGTCTGTTCAGTCATCAACCTTGTAACAAGTCTGTTCAGTCAACCTTGTAACACGTCTGTTCAGTCAACAATCTTGTAACAAGTTTGCTCAGTCAACAATCTTGTAACAAGTCTGTTCAGTCATCAACCTTGTAACAAATCTGTTGAGTCATCAACCTTGAAACAAGTCTATTGAGTCAACAATCTTGTAACAAGTCTGTTCAGTCATCAACCTTGTAACAAGTTTGTTCAGTCAACAACCTTGTAACAAGTCTGTTGTGTCATCAACATTGAAACAAGTCTATTGAGTCATCAACCATGTAACAAGTCTGTTCGGTCATCAACCTTGTAACAAGTCTGTTCAGTCATCAACCTTATACCAAGTCTGTTGATTCATCAACTTTGTAACAAGTCTGTTCAGTCAACAACTTGTAACAAGTCTGTTCAGTCATCAACCTTGTAACAAGTCTTTTCACTCATCAATTTTGTAACAAGTCTGTTCACTCATCAACCTTGTAACAAGTCTGTTCACTCATCAACCTTCTAACAAGTCGGTTGAGTCATCAACCTTGTAACAAGTCTGTTGATTCATCAACCTTGTAACAAGTGTGTTGAATCATCAACCTTATAACAAGTCTGTTAAGTCATCAACCTTGTAACAAGTCTGTTGAGTCATCATCCTTATAACAAGTCTGTTAAGTCATCAACCTTGTAACAAGTCTGTTCAGTCATCAACCTTGTAACAAGTCTGTTCAGTCATCAACCTTGTAACAAGTCTGTTCAGTCATCAACCTTGTAACAAGTCTGTTGATTCATCAACCTTGTAACAAGTCTGTTCAGTCATCAACCTTGTAACAAGTCTGTTGATTCATCAACCTTGTAACAAGTCTGTTGAATCATCAACCTTGTTACATGTCTGTTGAGTCATCAACCTTGTAACAAGTATGTTTATTCATCAACCTTGTACCAAGTCTGTTCAGTCGTCAACCTTGTAACAAGTCAGTCATCAACCTTGTAACAAGTCTGTTCAGTCAACAACCTTGTAACAAGTCTGTTGAGTCATCAACCTTGAAACAAGTCTATTCAGTCATCAACCTTGTAACAAGTCTGTTCAGTCATCAACCTTGTAACAAGTCTGTTCAGTCATCAACCTTGTAACAAGTCTCTTGAGTCATCAACCTTGTAACAAGTCTGTTCAGTCATCAACCTTGTAACAAGTCTGTTGATTCATCAACCTTGTAACAAATCTGTTCGGTCATCAACCTTGTAACAAGTCTGTTCAGTCGTCAACCTTGTAACACGTCTATTGAGTCATCAACCTTGTAACAAGTCTGTTGAGTCATCAACATTGTAACAAGTCTGTTCAGTCATCAATCTTGTAACAAGTCTGTTCAGTCATCAACCTTGTAACAAGTCTGTTCAGTCACCAACCTTGTAACAAGTCTGTTCAGTCAACAACCTTGTAACACGTCTGTTCAGTCAACAATTTTGTAACAAGTCAATTCAGTCAACAACTTTGTAACAAGTCTGTTCAGTCATCAACCTTGTAACAAGTCTGTTGATTCATCAACCTTGTAACAAATCTGTTCGGTCATCAACCTTGTAACAAGTCTGTTCAGTCGTCAACCTTGTAACACGTCTATTGAGTCATCAACCTTGTAACAAGTCTGTTGAGTCATCAACATTGTAACAAGTCTGTTCAGTCATCAATCTTGTAACAAGTCTGTTCAGTCATCAACCTTGTAACAAGTCTGTTCAGTCACCAACCTTGTAACAAGTCTGTTCAGTCAACAACCTTGTAACACGTCTGTTCAGTCAACAATTTTGTAACAAGTCAATTCAGTCAACAACTTTGTAACAAGTCTGTTCAGTCATCAACCTTGTAACAAGTCTGTTGATTCATCAACCTTGTAACAAATCTGTTCAGTCATCAACCTTGTAACAAGTCTGTTCAGTCATCAACCTTGTAACAAGTCTATTCAGTCATCAACCTTGTAACAAGTCTCTTGAGTCATCAACATTGTAACAAGTCTGTTCAGTCATCAACCTTGTAACAAGTCTGTTCAGTCATCAACCTTGTAACAAGTCTGTTCAGTCACCAACCTTGTAACAAGTCTGTTCAGTCAACAACCTTGTAACAAGTCTGTTCAGTCAACAACCTTGTAACAAGTCTGTTCAGTCATCAATCTTGTAACAAGTCTGTTCAGTCATCAACCTTGTAACAAGTCTGTTCAGTCACCAACCTTGTAACAAGTCTGTTCAGTCATCAACCTTGTAACACGTCTGTTCAGTCAACAATCTTGTAACAAGTCTGTTGAGTCATCAACCTTGTAACAAGTCTGTTGAGTCATCAACATTGTAACAAGTCTGTTCAGTCATCAATCTTGTAACAAGTCTGTTCAGTCAACAACCTTGTAACAAGTCTGTTGAGTCATCAACATTGTGACAAGTTTGTTCAGTCATCAACCTTGTAACAAGTCTGTTCAGTCAACAACCTTGTAACAAGTCTGTTCAGTCATCAACCTTGTAACAAGTCTGTTCAGTCAACCTTGTAACACGTCTGTTCAGTCAACAATCTTGTAACAAGTTTGCTCAGTCAACAATCTTGTAACAAGTCTGTTCAGTCATCAACCTTGTAACAAATCTGTTGAGTCATCAACCTTGAAACAAGTCTATTGAGTCAACAATCTTGTAACAAGTCTGTTCAGTCATCAACCTTGTAACAAGTTTGTTCAGTCAACAACCTTGTAACAAGTCTGTTGTGTCATCAACATTGAAACAAGTCTATTGAGTCATCAACCATGTAACAAGTCTGTTCGGTCATCAACCTTGTAACAAGTCTGTTCAGTCATCAACCTTATACCAAGTCTGTTGATTCATCAACTTTGTAACAAGTCTGTTCAGTCAACAACTTGTAACAAGTCTGTTCAGTCATCAACCTTGTAACAAGTCTTTTCACTCATCAATTTTGTAACAAGTCTGTTCACTCATCAACCTTGTAACAAGTCTGTTCACTCATCAACCTTCTAACAAGTCTGTTGATTCATCAACCTTGTAACAAGTCTGTTGATTCATCAACCTTATAACAAGTGTGTTGAATCATCAACCTTATAACAAGTCTGTTAAGTCATCAACCTTGTAACAAGTCTGTTGAGTCATCATCCTTATAACAAGTCTGTTAAGTCATCAACCTTGTAACAAGTTTGTTGAGTCATCATCCTTGTAACAAGTCTGTTCAGTCATCAACCTTGTAACAAGTCTGTTCAGTCATCAACCTTGTAACAAGTCTGTTCAGTCATCAACCTTGTAACAAGTCTGTTCAGTCATCAACCTTGTAACAAGTCTGTTGAGTCATCAACCTTGTAACAAGTCTGTTGAGTCATCAACCTTGTAACAAGTCTGTTCAGTCATCAACCTTGTAACAAGTCTGTTCAGTCATCAACCTTGTAACAAATCTGTTCAGTCAACAACCTTGTAACACGTCTGTTCAGTCAACAATCTTGTAACAAGTCTGTTCAATCATCAACCTTGTAACAAGTCTGTTCAGTCATCAACCTTGTAACAAGTCTGTTCAGTCATCAACCTTGTAACAAGTCTCTTGAGTCATCAACCTTGTAACAAGTCTGTTCAGTCATCAACCTTGTAACAAGTCTGTTGATTCATCAACCTTGTAACAAGTCTGTTCAGTCATCAACCTTGTAACAAGTCTGTTGAATCATCAACCTTGTAACAAGTCTGTTGATTCATCAACCTTGTAACAAGTCTGTTGAGTCATCAACATTGTAACAAGTCTGTTCAGTCATCAACATTGTAACAAGTCTGTTGAATCATCAACCTTGTAACAAGTCTGTTGATATCGTCCTGCGGTTCAACAATTTGTCAACAAAGTGTGAGTGACAACCTTGTAGCAACTTGTTAAAATAACAGCATTGTTTCAACTTGTTGACATGTTTGCTACAAGCCTGTCGCGAACACATCTTGTTGACAAGTTGTGAGATTTGTAGATGTGTACAGCAAGTATTTTGAGTGATATATTTCACGTTTCAGCCAAGAAATCCGTTACTTCTCGGAAAACTACGACAGTGTTAAAACGTTGGAAAAAGGAACACAAGAGAATCCCTCTGATGAAAGTTTATGGATTCGCCTTGCTACGGTTCACATGGGATCGAATAGGACAGAGGGGGATAAGAATAATAACAGCAGGAAGAATGTGGATAGAGCTCTCAACACTCTTGCGCAGGCGTTAGAATATAATCGCCATTCTGAGGTTAGTATATGGAAAATACTTTGAACTTATGTTACGTAACACGCGCTCAAGACTAATGAATACTCTTTTCCACTTGATTATCACTATATTCAATTTTTTTATACGTTTCTTAAGCGGCAAACAAACTTAAAAAGTATGTTTAGTACTTTTACTGCTTTATCTGTAAAATTATGCTAAAATGAAGAGATTTTAGATGGTATGCCAAAGAGAAAATGATGTCTGAAGTTCAGTAAGTTTTGCTTATATTGCTGCATAAATATGGCGTCAATTTTACAGCATCAATGATAATTGTATTTAAATTGACAATATTTAACTATTATTTTGTGTTTCTCAACCGCCAGATGCATTTTCAAACGGTTGCTAACTGTTTAACTACAAAATAAAGCTAAAAAATTTTGAGAGGAACGCCAAAAGATTTTAGGTTTTGAACACTTTTCATACAAATACGCGACATTAAAAGAAATTGCCTGTTAAAAACACGCTTTATTCGAAAAACACGCTTAAATAGACAATTCCCATTACAGACTAATTTTAAAACAAGGCAAGTAGACTCAAATAAACCAAAACAGCTAAAAAAGGCATACTAAAATTAGCAAGTGTGCAAAGTTTGGTTGCGAAATGTTGTAAAATGCGGAAAATATAGCCTTGCAAAGTTCGCATATTTTGTATACTTTTGTATTGCGTGCGGAATTCCTCCCACATTCCTACCACATTTTGGCCGAAAATGGTCGCACGCAATACAAAAGTATACAAAATTTGCGAAATTTACAAGGCTATATTTTCCGCATTTTACAACATTTCGCAACCAAACTTTGCAAATTTACTAATTTCAGTATGCTCTTTCTAGCTGTGGTAATTTATTTGCATCTCCTTCCCTAGTTTGAAAATTAGTCTATAATGGGAATTGTCTATTGACATGAACTTTTAGCTCATTTTTCCTCATAAAAACTTTTAAACTATTTCAGAAATTATGGTTAAAATACTTGGACGTCTTTCGTCAGCGAGCCAGTACAGATGAACTACACGAAGTATGTGAGGAAGCTGTCGAACTCGCGCGCTCGTATAAGGTTTGGTGGGCATATATAGACATCGCTTCTGACTATGAACGCAAAACGAACGTTTGTTTGAAATGTATCGAGTTTCTAGTACTATCAGACACCGAAATGGGTCTCAAGTCTCATCGTTTGTTGGAAATATTCTTGTATCTAATACAGTTAGATTTACATTGTGACTTTTTTAAAGTGGCTTTGAATCGCTTTCGAGTCGCTCTCAATTGCGTGGATGGCCCGCGAGACACTCGCGAGATTCTCGCATTCCTCGCGGAGAACACGATTTGCGAAGATTTGTGTTCGCTATGGTTGAGTTATATTCATCTCGTGGAATTTTCTTGTCTCCCGCGCGAGTTTTACGATCCCGCTCGTACTGGTCCCGCGAGAATTGTACGCAAGGATGGCGTGGTGTTGCCGTGGAAACCAGGTGCTGGTACACGTCATGGATCTGCAGAGTTGTTAAAGCTCTTTCATCGTAAGTCAAAGAAAACTAAACTAACTTTATTTATACGGGATAGCTCTATTAGTTCTAAACTGTTCTTCCTAGAGATCCAGTAAGGATCATCTCTTATTGATCCAGTGTTACTACAGGAGGAAACCTAAACTAAACTAACTTTATTTATACTGGATAACTCTATCAGTTCTAATCTGTTCTTCCCAGAGGTCCAGTAAGGATCATCTCTTATTGATCCAGTGTTACTACAGGAGGAAACCTAAACTAAACTAACTTTATTTATACTGGATAGCTCTATCAGTTCTAAACTGTTCTTCCTAGAGGTCCAGTAAGGATCATCTCTTATTGATCCAGTGTTACTACAGGAGGAAACCTAAACTAAACTAACTTCATTTATACTGGATAGCTCTATCAGTTCTAAACTGTTCTTCCTAGAGGTCCAGTAAGGATCATCTCTTATTGATCCAGTGTTACTACAGGAGGAAACCTAAACTAAACTAACTTTATTTATACTGGATAGCTCTATCAGTTCTAAACTGTTCTCCCTAGAGGTCCAGTAAGGATCATCTCTTATTGATCCAGTGTTACTACAGGAGGAAACCTAAACTAAACTAACTTTATTTATACTGGATAGCTCTATCAGTTCTAAACTGTTCTTCGTAGAGGTCCAGTAAGGATCATCTCTTATTGATCCAGTGTTACTACAGGAGGAAACTTAAACTAAACTAACTTTATTTATACTGGATAGCTCTATCAGTTCTAAACTGTTCTTCCTAGAGGTCCAGTAAGGATCATCTCTTATTGATCCAGTGTTACTACAGGAGGAAACCTAAACTAAACTAACTTTATTTATACTGGATAGCTCTATCAGTTCTAAACTGTTCTCCCTAGAGGTCTGGTAAGGATAATCACAAACACTACATTCTTATATTCTTTTGTCAGGCGCTCTAAAGGAGTGTGCTTCTGTGTCGAACTCGCAAGACAAAGTCTCGCCGGTGTTTTCGCTGTACAAGAACCTAATCGCGCTCGAGAGGGCATGTGGAAAGGACGCGTCTTCAGTACGTACATGTCAGCGGTTGCTAAAGGCCTCCCCGAAGAAGATCGAACTTTGGTTATGTATGTCTGCGTTACAGCAAGTCAGCGGTCAGGAAGATGGCGCGGTGAATGTTTATAAGAAGGCGTTGGAAACGTGTAATGGACATGCGCAGATTGCTTATTGTGCTGCCAAGTACTTCATACAGACGGTATTCCTTACTTTTCTTTTCCTGTTCATTTTAAGAGGAGAATATTTTGTATGTTACGTCACACGCGCTCATTGAATATTTCTTTCCGCTTGGTTATGACTATATTCAAATTTTTCAATTTTTGATACGTTTCTGAAGCGGCAAACAAACTTAAAAAGTATGTTTAGTGCTTTATCTGTAAAATAATGCTAAAATGAAGAGATTTTAGATGGTACGCCAAAGAGAAAATGATGTCTGAAGTTCAGTAATTTTTGCTTATATTGCTGTATAAAATATGGCGTCAATTTTACAGCGTCAATGATATTTGTATTTAAATCGACAATATTTAACTATTATTTTGTGTTTCTCAACCGCCAGATACATTTAAAAAGTTTGCTAACTGTTTAAACTACAAAATAAAGCCAAAAACAAAGTAGTTTTGAGAAGAACGCTAAAAAAGATTTTAGCTTTTGAACACTTCTCATCGCGAATACATGACATTGAAAATATTGTACACTTATTGTCTGCTCCCGAGGGAAACAGTTTGTTTTGTTTTCCCGAGAGTCTCAATGTTTCCCGAGAGGAAGTCGAGGGAAACATTTACAGATTCGAGGGAAAACAAAACTAACTATTTAATCAACATTCAACAACATTCATACAACAATTGTATTTCGTGACAAAAACCCTATAGTGTCAACGAGTTTAAAATTAAAAGAACCTACTTAAACGGTTTCAGCAGCATATCCCGTTGCCTGTTGTGTAGTTTTCTTTTACATTCTTTATTTGAACACAAACGTGGAAAATCGTAGTTTCTAATTATGCTAGTTGTGCCGCCATTTTGTTTTTTTATGTACGTGGCCGGTCGGGGCGGGCAACAATTGTTCACTTGTTGCCCGGCGGGATACATTGCATTTATCTGGAGTCACGAGACCACAAATCAGCCAATCACGTTCGGTGTTCACCCTAGCTATATAACAATGCTTCTTAGTATTTAATTGCTTATTATTCTTTCTAGCAAAACCGTGATGAATGTTACGAAGCCTTGACAAAATGTGTTTACAGTAAATTTATTCTCGAAGTTCCAAGCTCCGGTCCAAAAACCCGAGCAAGGTCACATGACCAGCCTACCATACTCCGGCCAAGTCCTGGACTGCTGTACAAAAAGCTTTTGTCGCAGACTTTGCCACTGGACTCTACAGTACCGTCAGCTAAACCTGGAGTGCGTCCTGGTAATTTGGGAGCCGAAGAAACGTACATTTGGCTTTGCTACTGGTAAGTGGAATATTCAGTTACCTCTAGGGGGACAATTTTGAAGTGATAGAGCTATCCATTAGGATAAACCTCTCAAAAGTTAGTCGGGTCTTGCAATGATGTTGAAAACGAATTACTTCACCTGACGCTTCAAGCTGAAGAAAAGCGCTAACCTCTGAGCAATGACCTTGACATAACTAGACTATTCACATTGGATAGCTCTATCAGTTCTAAACTGTTCTCCCTAGAGGTCCAGTAAGGATCCTCTCTTATTGATCCAGTGTCACTACAGGAGGAAACCTAAACTAAACGAACTTTATTTATACTGGATAGCTTCTATCAGTTCTAAACTGTTCTCCCTAGAGGTCCAGTAAGGATCATCCCTTATTGATCCAGTGTTACTACAGGAGGAAACCTAAACTAAACTAACTTTATTTATACTGAATAGCTCTATCAGTTCTAAACTGTTCTTCCTAGAGGTCTAGTATAGATCATCTCTTATTGATCCAGTGTTACTACAGGAGGAAACCTAAACTAAACTAACTTTATTTATACTGGATAGTTTTATCATTTCTAAATTGTTGAGATTTATCTTTTTTTAGCATGTTTATCGAATTATTCTCGGACAAAGAGCCCACAAAGCGACATTCGCTGACACAAGCAAGCTACGAGAGTGCTATCTACAGTACAGGCGACAGACATGAAGTAAAGACTCTCTGGATAGAATATATCTACTACATGGTTCGCGTGCTCAAGGAGAAGCTTTGTAAATCGGAAGAACTTCATGATATATTTCATAAATGTCTCACCACCGTGCCCGCCGTCACTCCAGTCCTTAATATATCGTCCAGATCGTGGTCGGATTACAATTTTCATAATGAGGTAATGGATAAAACCTCGCTGATTTATATGTTGTTTTGTGTCTTGATAGTTTATTGCTAACCAGTTGACCACTTGCGTAATAGACTAAATTTTGATCTCAAGAAGTCTAGACAAAAATTTCATTACAGCTTTAAAGAGCATCACAAAATTAGTAATATTCCAAAGTTTAGTTGTGAAATGTTGTAAAATGCGGATAATATAGCCCTGCGAAGTTTGCCGTTTTTCAGTCATTTTGTATTGCAAACGGGAAATTGACAGCCCCAAAGGGTATTGGTCTGTCAATTGCCCCCGCGTAATGCAAAATGACTGAAAAACGGCAAACTTCGCAAGGCTATATTATCCGCATTTTACAACATATCGCAATGAAACTTTGGAATATTACTAATTTTGTGATGCTCTTTCAAGCTGTGATGAAATTTGTGTCTAGACTTGTTGAGATCAAAATTTTGTCTATTAGGCAAGTGGTCAATTGAGTCGCATGCATATATAAGGAACTGGTCATTATTTACGGCAGGGGGGGGGGGCACCGAAGAGAAAAGGGTTGGGTAAACAAAATTTTGAGTGAGTAAAAGGTTGGGTAAATGAAAAACAAAACAACTCAAGGGTTTGGGTAATAAAAATTTATTGTCATGACTCACTCAAATATTGAAGACTAAAAAGCAATATCAACAGTCATATGTCAATACAATATATAAATCAATCAGAGTCGCTATCTTGATCATTTTCCGATTTGTCAGGAGACAAATGGTATCTCCAAAGAAAGTACATGTGCAGACAACACGAAACTGTAGACTGCAGAAAATTACACAAGCAGTTATCAAACTCGTGTCACAGAAGTGGTAAAGGACATGTGTGACAACTGAATGGTATCCTTTTGTAAAGTTTTTGGCCAGGGGTGGGTATTTATTTCTTGATAAATATTTGGGTTGGGGAACATTTCTCTTCGTTGCCGCTCCTCCCCCTCCCCCCCGTAATGGTTCTTTAACTAGGCATGTGACTTCGCTGATAATGTGAATTGAGTGGTTTGGTCTACTTCGATCATGTAAATCCGTCTGTATTTTCTAGGTTCTGGGTTTATACCGGCGCTGTTTGGGAGATGCGTTCTCATCAAATGTCTACGAGAAATATCTCGAAATGTTTCCGGATAACTCGATACTGGCAATACAGTAATGTGATGGATAATCTGTTTCAATTTATTATTTTTTGTTTCTCTTTTAAACTCGTATAGAGACGATCCTTAACCATACAATATTTTTATTTTTCTACACTCGACTGGGTCTTGACACTAAACGGAGCAAAATGTACTTGATAAACTCTATTAGTTTTCAGGCTCTAAAATATCAGTCAGAGAACCGATAACATTGAGTTTGGGTCAGACATATGTATTGTGATGTCCGATGACTTTGAGTTCAGTTTGGCTTGGAAATAAGTATGAATGCAGACACGAATTAATACCAGCACAATTTGGAAAAGTCATTTGAATCTTGGCAATGAATTTCGGAACCCCACAGTGAAAACCCCGCACTTGATTAGACACATACATTACTCTGATTCTCCATTTAACATACGAGCCTCTAGTCCTGGACTAGGGTACATTTTGATTGACGTTGGACAAAGTTAAGTTAGATCGGACACCAATTCACTCCGGTCAGACAAACAATAAACCTCAGTTTCATTTAGGTCGGATAGAATGTCCAGTGGTTTCCTCTCTACGTCGGACAATTTCACGAATGGATTGGACATTGTCTATGACAGACCGATATTTTAAGGCCAGAGTTTTGAGCTGTTCTTAATGGAGATACAATAAAGGCCATCCTTTATTGATGCAGTGTTACTGCAGAAGCGAATTAGAGTACTCGGGGAAAACGTTTAACCAAAGATCGTCTTACCAAAATATTGTATGGTTATTGAAAATTGTTTCCCTCTTTGCCCCCCCCCCATCACACACTAACATTGCGGATTTCTGCGATTCACCGTGTTTTATAGAGCTGTAGAACATTTATATGAGAACAGAGAGCTGGACAAAGCAAGAAAGATCCTGTCGGGAATTTTATTAAAGACACCATACTGTTTGGACTTGTGGAAAATGTACTGTTGAAATTTGAAATTTTTAATTACCATTAACAACCATTAGCAATGCTGTTCCAACAAGTTGTCGACGGCTTGTTGACAATTTGCTACGAGCTTGTTGAGCTCGACAGACTTGTTACATTAAGTTGTTCCAACAACTTGTTATCGTCCTGCACTTCAACAATTTGTCAACAAGTTGCGAGTGACAACCTTGTAGCAACTTGATGAAATAACAGCATTGTTAGAACTTGCTGACAAGCTTGCCACAAGCAAAGTTGTGAGATTTTTAACTGTGTTTTATTTGAACTACAGTCTGTTTTTCTATGATCTGAAATCATTCCCAAATATCTTTTTCAAAATACAGAGCGATTTCCATCGAACTCAAGGAAGAAAACTTTGATCAGGTATATTTGTAGAAACAATCTTAATTTCTCTTTGATGAGCGTTTTCGTGTTGAAAAAGTTTTTTTCTTTACGTGTTAGGCACGACAATTATTTGAACATGCCACGGAAGCCCTACCTTTGGCCGCATCGTTATGGAAAGATGTAAAATTAACTTTTTGTTGTATAAGTATATTTGTTTTGTTTTTTTACACAGACGCGCTATATGTCCCAAAAAAACCACCAAAGCTATTGGAATAACGTATTGTTAGAAATGTCTTAGCACTCTGCGGAACTCACATGAAGTGCATAAAAGCTTGACATATAAGTAAATTTTATGTATAAAGAAACTGTTTAAGAATCTGCTTTAAATTCCCAAGAGCAGAAAATCGTGCGCTTTACAAAGATATTTTAATTTCTTAATAAGTCAATATTTATAATATATGCATGCATGCATGCAACCTGTCAATATTTTACGCATCTTTATGGTTCAGAGCCTTAGTGCTAGGGCATTCAAATTCTAACAATACGTTATTTGCCACAAATATGTGAGCACGCGCTTATATGCTCGAAAATCATGCATTATGCTCATAAGCAGAAAATTGCACAAGCAGTTATCAAACTCACGTCACAGAAGTGAGATAAAGGACATGTGTGACAACTGAATGGTATTAAGTTTTTAGCTAGGGGTGGGTATTTATTTTTAATTGATATTTGAGGTTGGGTAAAAAAGTATTTTGACTTTTTAATGGTTGTATCAACAAAATTTGTACCGCGAAATAAATTTCTCTTCAGTCCCCCCCCCCCCCCCATGAATAATGACCGCCCCCTTGGATTGAGCTGTCGAGTATAAATAAAGTTGGTTTAATTTAGGTTTCCTTCTGTAGTAACACTACAACAAGTTTTTGATCGATAGAACTATCTTGTGTCTTTGATTTTTTTTACAGTTTGCGATGTTTGAACTGGCCCATGACTCGAACAAAATGGAGCGACTACAATCTATCGTCAACAAAACCAAAGACAGGGGCATTGACATTGAAGATTTTCTTAAAGAATTGACACTGGAATGACACATAATTTTAATCGCGTGGACACTGTGTGGAGATTTATTGAGCAAAAACAATGGAATATTTTTGAATGCTGACCAAAGAGTGTTGCAAAAAATCCGAGCAAATCGAAATCGAAAGATGAAGAAACAATTTTTCTGGCTTTTGAAGTAAAATTGCAGCGGAGTGAACCGAAAGCGTTTTTTTGAAATTTCCGAAAATGACATAAGCATCGAATCCATAATTATGCTTCGTTTTTAAAGTGGTAAGTATACCCTTTGATGTTTCCCAAATCAAAAAATTACGTCTGGAAATTTTTTATATTAAATTTCTTCTCATTTTTCTGGGGAACATAGGATTTGAATCTAAGAGAGATATGACTCTATGTTTTCAAGTGTTTGTCCGAAGGACATAATTACATTAATTGGGAGACAGATTTCAGACTTGAGAGATATGTATTATATTGTATGTAATTATATTGTCGGAGGAAACTATAAAAAGTTCTATTTAATATATTCATTTGATATATATTTTTGGGTATATAAATATTTTATTGACGAATTTTGTAATAAATTTAAGATTTTGTGGGATTTTTATTTTAGTTAATTTTATAGTTCAAAAGCATCAGTCAAAATTTATCTCTTGAAATTTTACAGTTTTGATCAATCTTTTACCAATCAATATATATCTATTTATGATTACTAATTATCGATTATATCTTAAATCACTGATTAATCAATAAGTTAATCAATAAGATGATTATCTTGTAATTATAATTAATCAATCCATACATTCAGTCATTCCTCTATTGACGAGTCAGTATGACTTTACCAAAAATCACTGGTTTCTCCATTAAGAGATGAATATTAGGAGATGATCCTTACTGGATCTCTAGGAAGAACAGTTTAGAACTGATAGAAATATCCAGTATAAATAAAGTTAGTTTAGTTTAGGTTTCCTCCTCTAGTAACACTGGATCAACAAGAGATGACTCCTATACTGCACCTCTAGGAAGAACAGTTTGGAACTGATAAATAAAATTAGTTTAGTTTACCCTCCCCTTCCCGCTAACCGTTGCTTTTCAGCGAAAACTGTTGCTTAACAAAGATGACAGAAAAATTAATGGTCGCGCATGTCCAACTTGGGAAAACAGTTCAGTAATCTGTGTTACCAACCTTACATTATCTGCTTAACCGAATACATCTATTTATGGAAACATTACATCAAAATTATTCATCAAACGACAATATAAACTCTTGGCTTGCGGACTGAAAGTTTTACGGAATAAGTCGATGAATTATAATGCTGTTCTGCAACTGTTGAACTAAAGACAGCAGCTGAATATTGTCATTCTTTTATGGAGGGAACTTCACCATTACAAAATCCAATGTATGTCTAAAAGACATGAAAGCACTGGACATGAAAAAGAACATTAAAGTGATGCTATTCATTATTTCGAATGCATGGCAGAACTTTGTCGAGACTTTTATTTATTGGAATAAAATTTCATTAAATGTTTTTGTAAATATGCGTAGTTTTTTTTTATTAAATATTTTTAAATTCAAATTGTGTTGTTTTTGTGTTGCAATAGGCTACCGTTTGACAACTGTTCGTGCAATTCTCTGCTGTCTAAAGTTTCATGTTGTCCCCACATGTACAGTGATGTAACTTTACCTTTTTGACCATTTGCCTGCAAGTTGATCATGAAAATTAGTTGCCTTGAATAAAATTCACTTGCCATCAGACAATGGCCACTGGGGTACCTAGGAAGGGGGTATACATTAAGGGGACAACATGTCGACCCGTTCTCCCACTTCTCTATATGACACTGTTATATTGCCTCAGATCTAACTTTGGCCCACAAAAAAAAACAAAATTTGAAATCAAGTACATGCACTATAAAAAATTTATTCGACAATGAAAACAAAAACTTAAGGATGACCAGTTTTTTTGTGGCAATTGAACTTGCCCAATCGGGCAAGCAAAATGAAACGTTCACTTGCCTGTCAATTTATTGCTCTGCTTTACAGGGCTTGCCGTGACGCAATAGAACGCGCGCCTAAGATTCAAAGCTGCACCTCGGAAATACCTGCGATTTTCATGTCAAGAAACGGCCTGTTTATACTTGAATAAGGCATCGACAGAAAGCCTATAGACTGTAGATTCCGAATTTGAAACTTACTAGAGTGGTGCAAATTCATGATGAAGTCCTGATTGCCTTCTTCTATTAGCAGCAAAAGTGTTGTTTTGACCGGCAATTTTTAATCGGCAAGTATTTGGTCAATTATGCTTGGAATGATACGATAAAAGGTGTCATTGAGAAGCTGAAACACTAATTTTTAGTACTATGGAAAAATTAGATCTGTGCACTTAATATTGATGGCACAAGAACACGCTAATATTGGAGCACTTTTTCATACATGCTGATTATGCTAATTTTTTGCGTGCCTGAAGGCCTGGTACCGATATGCGATTGCAAAGGCTGCTGGTCTACAACTCATTAGTATTCAAACAAATTTTCTGAAGAGAAACCGAGAATGGACGAAATGTTAGCTTGGGGTATGTATTTATTTTTCGCTTTTGCGACCGATTTTCTTTGCCGATTTCGATATATTGTAAACTGTAGTTTGTATTAGTAGTTGTAGTTTGGCTAGAATGTTTAAAATGGATATTTAAGGGGTTTTCTCGCGTAAAATTTAGGTATTTATTGAGCACGTGTGTAGCCACATGTTGAACATTTCAACATATATTTATATGTATTTGTGTGATATTTTTAACATTTAGTCCATTTAGCGGCGAGTAGATTTCAGGATTGTAATTTTAACACATAAATTGTGTTCCTACCGAAGTTCGATGTTGTATGGAAAGTTAGATTGCGCTTCAAGGCTGCAGGAATATTTAAAGAATGACCCATTTATATATAATTTAGAATTTATGTGTAACGAAATGGGCATTTCTGCAATGATGGAAGTTTAAGGGGTATATATTCTGAGTTCACAAATTTCTTGTGGAACGTTGAACACAACCATTCTTGTTCTGAGCAGAATTAAAATGCCAGGCACTCACTTTTTGTGACAGAAGATCAAATTCTGGATGTTATTAGACCTTTAATACACTGAAGTGTGTTCCCTTAATCGAACTAGGAATCGAATATCGAATTCTATAATCGCTGACTTTTTAACAGCAATCAGCACCAAAAAATTCTTACTTTGGCTGAATTAAGGTCGGCAAAACGTTGCTGACCTGGGAGGTTGATAAGTCGGCATTTAGCTTGGCATTGCCAAATGCTGACCTCATTTTGGAGGGCTGTAGTTATATGATGTTACTGCGATGTGCAGTTGAGCTTAGAGACAAGAAGTTTTGCCACACAGTTTGATCGTTGAAACGTACAAGTTACCAAGGGCAAATTCAAATGTTGTCAAGCGGAAATGTGAATGTTGTAATAGGAGATTCAGGCACTTTCGGCCAATTATAGTGAAGAACGCATTGGGGCAACGCTTCCTTCACTATGATTGGCCGATAGTGTTTAAATCTCCCATGACAACATTCGCTTTTCCGTTTGACAACATTTGAATTTGCCCTTGGTAACTTGTACGTTTCAACGATCAAACTGCGCGGCAAAACTTCTTGTCTCTAAGCTCAACTGCAAATCGCAGTATTTAATTATATATAACATAGATGTTAATTGTAATATTTTCATGTAGATCATTTGCAGTCATGGAACAAGCCGACCATGCAGTATTTATGTATCTTCTTCGTTCAAATGGGGGGAAAATTAAAAGATATTTTCCTTGATACGTAGGTAAATTTCTGGCGTTTTACTGTTGTCCTGTGATATTCTGAGTGATGAAAAATCTGCAAACCATGAAACGACTGCTTTTTGAAGCAGAATGATCAGATTTATTTAAGTCTCTGACAGAATATTCACAGAAATTCCAATACTGTTATGAAGCAACCATGCCATGCTTTTTCTTATATATTAGCAACCATAAATATGTTCTAATGTGCTGCAATTTTTATCAACTTTACAGAATCGTGAAAAGATAGAGTTACCACTGACAGTTTTATGGTAAGTTCTCAGGGGCTTTTTATATGGAAGCCGGGCTGGCTCGCTTAGCCAGACAGCCTGGTTTAAAGCAAGTTGAATTTCTCTCATGTTTATATGAGAAACAATTGGACAATTTTGTTATTTTGACAATGTTTTGACAGTTGTTAAAAATAGCTTGCGACAGCGTCTTTGAACTTTTATCCCAGCAACCTGGCCAGCCCGCTCGTGAGTGTTTTTATGGACAAATTGTAAGCAAGATCTCTTTCAAAGGAGATCTCTGTAACCAGGTCAGCTCGTTTGTCCATATAGTCGAGGACCTGTATATGAGTTTGTATGCATTTCATTTAGGACAGATAATCTCAACTGTTTTAGGGCAAGTTGACCATGACGGTCAACATGCTAACGCTGCCCGAACCCCAATCCGGGACGAAACGTCCGAAACTGACCACACCCAAAAACGACGCTTTCGCCATACTGCTATCTACCAAACCATAAAAGCTTTGGCTATTCTGAAGTGCTTATATGGTTCAGAGATGGTAC